TGTCATTATAATAAGTAATGTCGGCAACATTAAGTTCCAAAGCAAGTAAGAGCGAGTGATCGGTAATAGACCATTTTCATGATGACGACATTTGACTACACTGACTACCAGAATTCATTTCGTTTTTGCTTTCACATTTAAATTTGTCAATTCCGCTAGGGTTTAAAAAACAATAGCCCTAATTTTCACAAGAAAACAACAGTCTGAAGGATTCTGGTAGTTGGAGTAAAATAACGTCATCGTGCAATAGTCCCATAGATACTAAACAAAGTATAGATTCAGACTGATGTGACACAGTCCCTTTGAAAGTGCTGTTAACGCGTGAGTTAACAAGCGAAAAATATGAATGTCGTACCCGATAATTCCTTCCCTACTCATCTCTTAAGAAATAACAGTCTAATTGCCTTAAAATCCTGTTTGTAACGATTTATTAAAAAAAAAAACAGTAACATTTCCACTGCGAACTCAATCCAGGACATGGACCTCCTCTGGGTCCCAGTTAACCAGAAGGTCCCTGTTCCTTGAGATGAACACTTGTAAAATTTCAACGGAGGCTCTCACGTTGCCTGTCAAAAATTGAAACGGAAAAACCAATTTAAATTGCAAAATATTTCACTGGCTGTCACGGTAGTTGAGTTTAACACGTCACCCACTAAAATTATTTCGCACTTTCCTAAGTCCCCAGGAGGATATTTAATCCTAGAGTGCTAATAAAGGTCTGCCAACAGTAACACTGACAGTCAACATTAGCGATTTGTTTTACAAGTGGTTCTACTATCCAGCGATCCAAAAACACGAAAATCCGATCTTGTATTAATAACCGAAAGCAAGTTTTAACAATATCAATTGGTTTTTATTCTCGACGGGGAAAATAAGCAAAGCCAACTTTTTCAACAGACTCAAGCATCATGCATCAGACATCAGTATAAATAATTCAAAAGCCGGGCTTTTCTCTTGCGTAGTACAGAACGGAAATTACCTGTACTTGAAAATATCTCAAGAAGAATTTTTGTGATTTGTAAAGACAATTCAGCGCTGTTTTTTGTTGAAACAATGCCTTTTATTGTGAACAATACTCCGGTGTTGAAGCGGGCATAGGAAGGGTATTTCTGAAAATTTTGTTAATTGAGCGTGGGTGATATTTTTGTCATTTTTAGACAAGCTTTTGAGATAAGCAGACGAAACAACAGCCAAAAAAAAATAATGCGATGAAACAGAGGAGTGTTTTGAGAGGGAGCCCAGTTGAATAACACCGTCGGTTGAATAAAAAAAAAACTTTTACGCTTAAGATCTCTCGCTTTCTTCAAAGAACTGCTGCATATTTGCATATCAAAAGACAAAATTTGTTTTCATAGCAACCATCCAATACTCTTATTTCATGCGGGACAGTCTACTTGCACTGAGACAAAGAAAGAAATCAGGAACAATTTGCTCAGGTATCTGTGGCTTTGAGAAGGCTGAGGGAATATTCTGGTCACTTTGCGAGTAGATACTGAAACTCACTGCCACCAACACAGTCGAAATCTCGGCCATATCTCCCCCCTCCTCGCCATATGCTATTGCTCCAAGTTCAGAACACCACGCACCTTGATTTGAGCCGGTAATGTTTATACTGCGAAGATAGAAAATCAATTTTCGCAATCGCGGTTTTGGGTGATTGGGTTTTATCAATTTTCCCAAAGTTTTAAAAAAATGTTAGAAGAAAAGAAAGAGTGGGAGTCAGGAAAATTAGTCCCCATTTTAATGAGGGAAATTCACTATCAGCCTTTTCACTCACGTGGCCGTCAGCTATGCAAATGTTACTAAAACAAAAGAAAGTTTTTACATAAGAAAACGGTTCATCTCCATCAAGATTAGTCAGTTTTGGAAGGCAACATGTCCGCCGTTGAAATGTTTTAGGACACCAATATGGCGGATGTGGCGTCATGTGAAAACGCTCCTAAATGTGAGATTTTTATATTTTTTGAACAATAAGAAAGCTGTCTTGCCTCTTTAGTGTCTTTAGTGTCCAGTATAGTGATTACTGAGCCAGAATCGTACTCAGTCGCTGTTGATGTGTTCTTGAGGTGAGGAAAGATAAAGGTTAAATTGAGGAGCGCGGGGACGCACGGGAAGAGACGAGGAGAAAATAATAAAAGCCATGCACCTCCCGTACAACGAGGACGCATGCGCGAAGCACATTTTCACATGAGCATTTGGAACTGTCACGTAACTATTTTAAAATAACTGCTATTTCGAGTCAAAGCCAATTTCTAGAACAATGCCTGAGGATCACCCAGCTATTTTTTAAAATCGTAATCAGTGTACTTTTTGAACGATTTTATCTCAAACAAAATTGGAAACGTGGATCGAAGATTCAATGTACTTCTTTCTCGCACGTGTCCAAGTCAAAGACACCTTAGAACAGGTTTTCTTCCCTTAAGTAGGACTTGGTCGCTGCTAGGATGAATTTCTGTTGATACAGACTCCTTTGTTCATTTTTAGGAAGTACTCAGGTGACAGTGCCCAACTAAACTTTTGAACTCAAGTAACACTGTTGTACTATAACGTTTATTAAAACAATAAAATTGCCGTTTTATATCTATATTTGGAAGCAACTAGCGGGAACGTCTACATTTATTTAATAAATCGACAGAAATGTCATGGTCTCTTCTATTATCGACCATAGAAATGACGTCAAAATGTTCAAAACTCATGATCAAGTGGAACCACGAGCCGTAATGGAGTGATTTCACTGCAAAGTTTTGAACATTTTGACGTTATTTCTATGGACCATATAAGAGTATAGAGATGGAGCATTGTTGTAGATTTGTTTTTTTTTACAATAATATGGACAGTTTTTGACGTCCATTTCCACTGAAGCTTCATTTCAATGGCCTATACTCTCATCGACCATAGCTCTTGACCAATTAGCACGCGAAAGATCGCTTTGTTATTGCAAAACGTTTATCAGCGTATTGCCACAAAGAGTTAGTATGTGTAATATCATAGGTGACAAATCACACTATTAATTCGGCGTCTTCCTGGTCCCAATTAAGCAGTAGTCTCCGCGGCATTCGTAACTGCACGATGAGGCATTTGCACCGTATCACCTGTAACAGGCATCTAATGCAGTGGTACAGCAAGCGAACAACTTGAGACAACGTGGCAAAAATCACAAGAATGCACGCTGCCGCTGGTAGCAGCCCAATCAAGACTATCTCGATCCACTGCAAAACACGAAAGAGGTTTTGATTCTTTTCTGTAGGATCAATTCCCTCAGATATATAGGTGGCTTCAGCCAAACTGAACGAGCAAATGACAACCAGGCTCAACAGGGAAAGGCCTTCGAAAACGTTGGCTTTCCGTTCGCGGAAAGGTCTCATTGTAAGATGATGGACAAGAATCAAAACGCATGAGCAGTTTAAGCAAAGGAAGCGTATTATGGGATCGGTAGCAAAGGTGTGAATGATCAACAGTAACAAACTCCGGCCAGTCAGAACGCTTTTCCAGTACAGGGTGCTATGTTGTACGGAAGAGGGTTCACGAAATGGACCATAGAGAACCTTCTTGATTTCATCGGTATCACTGGGGGAGCACACTACACGTTCAGAATCTCTTTTTCTAAGGTGCCGTATAGTCCAGGTGACGAGGTGAGGTAGAGGAAATGCACAAGCCAGTAAAAATTCCTTAGCAGTCAATCGGTCTTTGGCAAGTAGCAGTGATCCCCAGAAGAGAACAAGGATAAGAGGAATGATAAATGACAATACGAACGCGATTATCAGGAACTGCCACCACTGCCAACATTGAATGTTACCATCAACGAAAAGGCGCCATTCCTTATCAATAGGAACACAATGCATAAGCTTTAGGGATGTATCAGCAAGTCTTTCATAGCCAAGCAACAGTGTTTCCAAAGCAACAGCCAGGTATAATGATAGCGAAGGTGCTGAAATGTACCTGAACTTGCTTGCAGCTCGATGGATGACATATGTAAAACCAATGGAAAGTAAAGTTCCCAGGAACATCGTACACTGAAAGAGAGCCTTGGTGACGGCCGTGAGACCAGGAAATGGACAGCCAATTCTATCGTTCAATGTCTTAACCTGGAAATTGAAAATCGCGATCACAGGTGGGATAATTGGAACCATGGTAAGAGTCGTTTCTGGGGAATTCACCATTACCAGCTTAACTACTTGATAAAAATGGAAAATAGTCTTCAGGTATCCAGGATCGTGGTTTTGATCGTTATGAAGTCGCAATTGCTGTACATCAAATCTCTTTGTTCTTCTCTTAAACCACAGACTATGCCTGTATAGCTCTGAGAAAATGGGAGGCTTGAAGACGAGGTAAAGTGCCAGCAAAACCACGTAAATTGTAGTAGCTAACCAAAACCAGTGATCATTACATTTCTCTTTCTCTCTACATAAGGGTGAATATAGCGTTTCACTGTATCCATCAGAACACTTGCCACAGAGCACGCCACTCCTGTTTCCACGACAGGCATTGTAAACGTAATCATTGGAATCGCTCGGCCTGCCACAATATCCCAAAGGACAGGGGAAAAACTTCATTGTAGGAAAACTTGCTGAAACGTTCATGTCCCAAAAGTTTTCTTTCGCTTTAACGTTTCCATGTTCACACGTGGCTCCATAAGGACAGTCGAGACACTCAGTTCCCTTGCTTTTATTCATACCCGTAGCTAGTACTCTATGAAGACTATAAAACTTATCGGGACACTCTTCGCAAGACGTCTTGAAGATGTTTAACCTAATCCAGCATGTTTTGTTTCCCTTGGTAAAGTCAAGACCCTCAGTTAAGTTTTGTTGGACTTTATCAAGTTTGACCCTCTTTCCGGGTGGGCATCGAAGGGAGGAAGCAACGTCAATTTTAATCAAACTACTGGTAGAAGCCTTTAAAAATGGATGAAAGTTTATGTTGACATTTGCTGTAAAAGACGGATTTGAAATAGTTAAAGGGCCGGTGCTGTCTGTGACCACGAAACACCCATTACTTGAGCCGATTCCGCGTTGCTTTGTATCAGAAAATCGATTCAAGCGTGTTTGGGTGAAGGTTCTGTTCACAATGTGAAGAATACCGAAGCCTGTCTTCATATAAATATGTCTCCCCATAGTCAAACCTTCGTTGTTTTTGAAAGTGCAGTTTATTAAAGAAACGTTTCCGTTCAAAACGTTCAGTGCTCCCGAGATACCAACGTTGTCTTCGAACACGCTATTTTGGAATATCACCCGTATCTGAGATCTATTTTTCCACACCAGTTTGTCGTTGTTCAGACACTTCGGAGGATCCTCTTCGTCAAATTCAATTTTTACAGTTGGCTGTTCACTAAGGCGCTCAATGAGTGCCGAATTGTTCACAAACTTGCAGTCCTTCACAAATACTTGCCCTTTAACGTTCTTCTGCATGCGTACATACAGAGCGATGTTGTGTAATTCCTGGAAAGTGACGTTTTCGAGGATTAGCTCACCCTTGATAAATGGTGGTCTGTTTAAATGGTCTGAGTACACCTGGAATCTGATTGCATCACCCGTACCCCGCGTCTCATTACTGCCAATAAAAAAACTCTCCTTGACAACTAGCGATTGGCTGCTTGCTATACAAAAAAGGACGTCATTCAGGCAAATATTGGCCGCCATTCGAACGCCAAATTGATTGTTCCAGAAAATGAAGAGTTCCAGAAACACCCTGAAATCAGCATCCCTTTCTTTTCGTTTTTGAGGTCCATTGGCCATAAAGGCACACCCATAAGTGGAATGGTCGGAATGGACTTTCACTTTTGACAATCGAACGTCGAATCCACAAGTCACGGATATGGCATTTTCGTTCCTTAGAACAGTAGTGTTGTATAATGTTAAATTTCCAGCGGTAGAGAAGCAATTGTAAGCCCGAAATGATAATGCGAAACCATTGTTCTTTTTGTTAATCTCACGAAAAACGGAATAGGTTATATGGCCGACTGCCTGTACCGTCGATTCTCGCGATTGGTTTATTAATTTGACGTACACTGCCGCCATCGTCGTCTTATCCCAGGAGGTTCCATTAAATCGCCCCATCTTTCCCTGAAAAATACATCTCGATATGTTTAATGCAAACACCCCCTTATACAGAACCACGACTGAGACGGATTCGCTGTTATTCAAGTATTCTGGGTCGCTGATAACAAGACTGGATGATCTTGTACTTGAGACTGTGAAAAGGTTATCAACGAGTATGGCATTCCCGTTCGTAGAATCAGTCTTCACATTTACTAGTTGCGCGTCTAAATCTCCAGCAACTAATACAGCATTTTTGTTATGCAAGAATGTGGTGTGAAATAGCCTCAATGTTCCACGGGTAAAGACGATATCGTTAGTCAAAAATGACCATGCAAAGCCATTGTTCTCGTGACCAAGTTCAAAAACCTCTGCCTTTGTCACAGTTTGGGGTTCATTAGGTAACAAGATATTCCCTCCGGGTATGGATGATTTTGTATTACCCTGAAAGACACACCTGGCTAGATTAAAGGCCAAAAGCCCCTTCTGAATTTGAGCCAAGGCGGATATGTCACTACTCAAGAATTCTGAGTCACTGATAACGAGACTGGATGAATTCGAATCTGAAAGAACAGCGTTATTTAGTGTCAAGAGTATGGCCTTTCCACGGATGGAATTAATCTTCACTTTCACTAGTCGTACGCGAAATCCGCCGTCCTCTGCCATGACATTTTTGTTGGCTAGAAATGTTGTGTTGCCTATTGTCCAAGTTCCATTGGTAAAGATGCTACCGTTAGACAGAAATGACGATGCAAAGCCAGGATTTTCGTGACCAAGTTCACGAAAAACGGAATCGGTGTTAAACCCGACTGCTTTTGCCGTAGTGTTTTGTTGTTTCCTTATAACGTTAATGTACACTGCTTCTTGGCCCATGATTTTCAAGGAGGTTCCATTGAAACGTAAGCCATCCACTCCGCCCTGAAAGACGCACCTCGATATGTTTAATGTAAAGCCCCCTGAAACATAACAACCAAGAAGGATACGGTATTATTTAAGAATTCTGAGTCGTTGATGACTAGTGTGGATGACTGCGTTCTTGACACAGGAGAGTGACTGTTTTGAAAAATGGCAAATGCTACTTGGGTGTTCATAAACTTACAGTTAGTAACAAAGACATTGAAGGTGCTTAACCCAATGGAATGAATGGTCATATTGCTTGGTATCTGAAAAAAAAAATCATTTCCCTTGGACTCGTTTTAGTTTCGGGTTAAATACAGTGTAATATTCCCACTGCATGCCTATTGTCCCCACACGAGGAACTAAGTTATGGGAGCAAACCGCTCCTGCCCCAACCAATATCCTGCCTTTCACAATATAAGGAAGGGGGGATGGAAACGCCAATAACAAGGATCAGACCTTCACACACCTGTAGTCCTTCCATTACTCAGAAACCCAATCCAATTTGCCTCAACATTCATAGCATCAACTTTTTTATGAAACAACGTTTTTGAAGAAAACTGGTCCGTTGTCTCTGGTGAGATACCTAGACCTGCAGATACCTTTTTACAGATGGTTTTTACTTGGGATTGCTACCCCAATGCCTGGTCAACCTCTTTTCCCAGATATCTATGGTTAGTTACCCGAGTCAATTGTTGACGCCTTAATCGGTAGTGGTGACCAATAATCATATATTTTGTCTTTTAAACTTTTAAGGTACGTTTATTGGATTTCAGCCACTTTTGAACCTCATCCAATTCTTTGATTAACTTTTCTTCAAGAATTGTGGAGTAATAAGCGGAAAGGGTACGCAAGTACAGATGATGACAGCTTACATTCTTGTAGGTCATTTATATGAAAGAGAAACAACAAAGGTCCAAGTAAAGAACCTAGTGGGACCCCAAAGATAAAAGGAAGATAGTCTGATAGAGTGCCATACACGTAAGTACTCTGAAAGCCATCTGATAGGTATGATTTGAACCACTGAACTGCATGCGGTTCGAGACCATTAACTTGCAGTTTTTTCAACAATATGCCCAGTGTGGTCAAACGTATCAAAGGATACAATCTTTGTTTTCCCTTTGGGAATACAAATTTTGTAACTCCATAGATAAGAGAATGGTCACTAATTCCGATGTGACAAACCCCAGAATGCGTATAAAGGTTTGCTTGTTATTTGTTATGAATAAATCAAAAAAAGTCGTGGATTTTTCAGTGATTCGAATGTTCACATTAATAAGTTGGTGGTATTAGTAAAGGTTGCAGATTTCCAGAAGATTCTTTGCAAGAGATTCTAGTGGGCAAGTGGGCAAACAGCCACATGACAATTTACATCTCCCAAAATATTCTCCTCTAGCCCCAGCGATTCGATTTGCTGTACGAGAAATTCAAACTCTCTTGGTGGCGGTTGAAACCACAGCGAAACTTGTAAGTCACTTCCACTGAACTCTGTTGAAGTGACCAAGAGGCACTGACAAAAACCGAGCAATTCTAAGGAAGGGCCACAATGCATCATACCACCAACGAGCAGGAATTTAAAGGAGTTACTTATTTCCCGCGTCACGGGCCAATTATATATACCGTAGGTGAGAACAGTTTTCTAAAAGTTATTATGCTATTGAGGCTAATGAATATTCTGCCTTTCTCAGGGCTATGTCGATTGCTTTAGTGCCAAATCCGAATAATTGTTTTTGATGTTGTTTGAAACTGGGAAAAACAGAATGGTAAATAAAGGAAATTCAACTACCTGAACCGAAACGACTCCCTTCCTTCCATGATGTAACTGAAAAAAATTAGGCAATAAACCGTGACTAATTATCCTTTTCTGTATAAACTATTGTAAAATTACAACCCGTTTCCTTTTGTTTTCTTTCTTTAATGGCAAAAGACAACTGTATAGAGAATAGTTCCATTTCACTTATAAGCACCTCTCACCCAAACAGGAACGCATTATGATCGATTGACATGCATCCCACGCTACTGCCGCCAAGAGGGAAAAAGTAAAAGAAGTTTGACAGAATTAGAGCTAGGGAACACTTGCTGTATATTATAAGGAGCATTCATGAATCTCATAAGCATGAATTTCTCTGGATGTGATGACTCAATACGAAAAGAAAAGAAAAAGTAATTGAGCATACGAATGTACTTTACAAGGCTGATTAAAGGTACACTAGACATCGCTATTTTCTCAAGCGATCTTTTCATTTAGTTACAACAACGGAAAGGGTATTCAACATTGAAATCAGTGACGTTAATATCGTTTTTAAGTACATTTGGGAAAAACATGTTGAGCGACCTTTATCATGGCGAGACCTTCTAAACCCAAAAAGGGGTCCTCCCTGTGAAGGGTTGTAGACTGAAGTTCTTTAAAAAATGTTAACGTGTCACCTTTCACAATAATATTGTACTTTTTCCACAAGCTAATTTGCTTATGTAAGTCATTTTCGATTTCACGCCCGCAAAATTGTTGAAATGGAGTAGACTTGACACCACCCGATGTAACTAAATCAGATCAATTACCTGTTAGTTAATGCCACTAAAATTCATTTATCGACCAAACCAATTATTTAACAAAAACAAGGCGATAATTTCGTTTAATTATAGCCACATGTGAGCCACAATAATCAAAGGCTCACTCCGTAAAATGAAGGTGAAAAAGGATTTTGTGCGACTAACACCTTAAGAAAACGTCTCAACAGGGTATTTCGACTATTTCACTTCATAGTTCTGGGGAGGACGGCCAAACATGTCCAAAAAAGTGTCATACGGTGCAGAGTTTCCTTTTTGCTCGTCAAATCTATTGGGCCAGTAATTTAAGCAGAGTTTTGCTCGTGTTTAACAAAACAGCGTTTTGCGTGAGGCCAAGGTTTGATCAAGTGTATCACCTACTGCTGAGAACCAGAGGGAGAAAAAGACCGTTCCTACATATTTTGTAGAGGTTCTCTTCCGTCACTTCTGATCCCTTTCAGTTTCGTATGTCATAGTTTTTTAGTCGCTTACACTGCCAGAAGCAAAATTTCTTTTTTTTTTTTTTTCAAAATAATTTAAGATGATCCTGCAAATTTGTCCCAGGAATTAGGACGCAGTGATAAATGAACATTTTAAACTATAACATGGTAAACCTCTTACCTGATTGGCCTATACTGAGTACAGGCGAAGCGCGGAGAAAAATTAGCAGCCATCCAAGGGCCACACAAGAATGCATCTCACTGAAACGTTGGATTGTGCGGCCTTTGCTGATCATTCAGGGATTTTATCTTCCTTGTCTTTACGTCATTTCTATAATTTAAGGCTACATTACCTGTTTTCTTAAAATAAATAGACATAACAAAACTGGCTCCCAGGCACAGTCAACAATGCAATGGTTTTGTTAAGCCGTCAGATCAGACTTCTTTGTGATATGCTTTGGTGAGCTATTTTGGACTTGACTATCGTGCAAAACGTTCCTGAAGCAGCATTCCGTATCCACATCGACCAATAGAAACGTCCCATTAATTTGTGCATAGTCCGGGAGATTCCTGATCACAAAGTGCAGTACAGTTGTTTTCGTCTTTGATTTTTTCCGATTTTAATAAACAGTCTCCTGTAAATACTCATCTCGCAACTATTTTCAACACAACAAACAAAAAATAGATTTACATTTTTTTCTGATCTTGTTATATCTTGTGGTCAGTATCAAAAGTGAAAATAGGTATTTAGAAAACTTACACTTGACTGACTGTGTTACTAAAAGCTAATTGTAATTAAACATATTTAGCTAAGTTAATAATTCGCGAGTTTTCTGCATTGTTAATCCCCTATTGTCTTCACATTTCGCCCTTTTTGACTACTTTAATACCTTCTTTAAGCCAAACATGCTAAACTTTCAAGAATCATAACTTTTTATGTACAATACCTAGTGTTTACTCTCGTGAAGCAAGAGGATCTTGCGAGAGAAGTCAACGGTTGTTTTGGTAGCACCACAACTCAGTAGAAAGAAATGGACTGGATTGTGAGTAAAACAATGTTTAACGCGTGACTTGAATTAAAACTGCCAAGGAAGTTCAATTTAAGGTCGCGGTTACAAAACTCTAGTGTTTATGAAGACAACAGATTATTTATAGAACTTTTATTGAGAACCAAAGTTTCTGTTCTCATGCGCAACCATTAAAAAAAACGCATACAAAGCTAAACTAGGTTGTTTCCCTCGTGTTTTTGGAGAGGGTTACATAACAACTCTGGAGTTTAATGCAATTTTTTCCTATCCTTTCAGTATTGTCTTGATATTGTTGTCAAATCTAACTTCACACCGTCAGTGTATACCCCACTATACCTGGGCAGTATATACGTATTCATGACAGACGAGTATCACAACCCATGACAAAAATAGTGTTTTATGCTTGTAGTAGTAGCGCAAGCAAAATACTCAGGGATCCGAAGTGACCTCAACGAGGTTTTTCAGGTAGTCCCAAAACGTAGTATAAAATGGGCTGAACCTTGAGCAAAACAACTTTTAACGTTCTTCTAATTAAAACCGCCAAGACATTTAAATTCAAATCACGTATTACAAATTCACTAGGCGTTTTCGAAAACAAACAGTAATTTATAGAAAACCTAAAATAAAGTTGAAAAAAAGCTAACAGCCCTAAACAAACATTTTGTTCTCGTGTATGGGAGAAGGTTTTATAATATGAGTCAAACTAGTCAAAAACTTATAACTTCAGACGAAAAGCATTGGCAAAAAAGAAGAAACTATTAAAAAGCCTAGGAACAGTGCAATACGCCGATACGATTTCGGTCGTTGCCGCTTGTCAGTGGCTTGTCCCAGGCACTTATCACTTGCGACAAAGCTGTACCGTCCATACGGGCAGAAAGTGCTAACTAATCAAGTGCAACTTTCTCAGTTCGCCGGCTGTGATATAGAAAGGCTCTTTGCCAGAGTTATAAACAAGTCGATGGAAAAATGATCAATTCATAAATCAATCAGCACGACTGTTGAAGCTTTAGAGCTGTTGACAAGAGTAAGCAAAGAAGTTTAAGTCACCTGCAGGGTTTCGGTAAAGATAAAAAAGAAATGGAAAGATGATTGGTGTTCTGTTATCACTTATTGAATTTAAACCAAGGTCTCTTTTTGCCCCAAAGCAATTTTGTATTCGAATCAGTGTCGCAGTGAAAGGGCAGGTACATTGTAGTCCGTACATGACCTTTTCTGTATGATTCGTCAGCCTTTGTTTAAAACTGGGAAGCGTTTCAGGTGTTCCAAAGGGCTTGTCGTGTTTTTTGAGAAGCATTTCAATTGAACACTTCAGAAAATACCATAACATACCTTAATACTCTTTGTTTATCACCACAAAATTTTACATAAGCACTGTTTTCAGTTTCTCTTGGCGCCATTTTAACTCCCAAGAGAAACTGAAGACAATGCTTATGCAAAATTTTGTGGTGACAAACAAAGAGGATTAAGGTATGTTATGGTATTTTCTGAAGTGGTCAATTGAAAAACACGACAAATTAAACCCTTTGGAACACCTAAAACACTTCCTTTTCAATAGTTTGACGTTGAGCTGTGACTTTGTCATTATAATAAGTAATGTCGGCAACATTAAGTTCCAAAGCAAGTAAGAGCGAGTGATCGGTAATAGACCATTTTCATGATGACGACATTTGACTACACTGACTACCAGAATTCATTTCGTTTTTGCTTTCACATTTAAATTTGTCAATCCCGCTAGGGTTTAAAAAACAATAGCCCTAATTTTCACAAGAAAACAACAATCTGAACGATTCTGGTAGTTGGAGTAAAATAACGTCATCGTGCAACAGTCCCATAGATACTAAACAAAGTATAGATTCAGACTGATGTGACACAGTCCCTTTGAAAGTGCTGTTAACGCGTGAGTTAACAAGCGAAAAATATGAATGTCGTACCCGATAATTCCTTCCCTACTCATCTCTTAAGAAATAACAGTCTAATTGCCTTAAAATCCTGTTTGTAACGATTTATTAAAAAAAAATAGTAACATTTCCACTGCGAACTCAATCCAGGACATGGACCTCCTCTGGGTCCCAGTTAACCAGAAGCTCCCTGTTCCTTGAGATCTCTTGATGAAAAAGATATTTGTATCTTGTATGATACAAGAGAAATTTCACACAGTGGTACAACAGTCGAATGACTTGAGACAACACTGCAAAACCAAAAAGAACGCACACCATTGCAGGCAGTAAACCAAGTACGATTACCTCGATCCATTGCAAAGCCTGAAAGAAGTTTTGAATTGGTCCAGCGGGATCTATTCCCTCTGAGATGTAAGTGGCTTCAGCCAAACTGAAAGTACAGATAACTGTCAAGCTCATAAGCGAGAGGCCTTCACAGATATTGGCCTTTTGCTCTCGGAATGGTCTAATTGTAAGATGATGAACAAACATCAAAACGCATGCGCAATTAAGACAGACGAAGCGTTTCAAGGGATCAGTAGTAAATGTGTGGATAGTCAGTAGAATTAATCTCCGACCAGTCAGTACGCTTTCCCAGTACAGGGTGCCATAGTCGCCAGTAGACGCTTTGCGAAATGGACCGTGTAGAACCTGCTTTATTTCTTCTGCATGATCTTCGTTTCCAGCATAAAGAAGCTGTTCATCATCTGTCTTTCTAAACTGCCGAAAAAGCCACAACAGTAGGCAAGGCAAAGGCAAAGCACAAGCTATCAGGAATTCCTTAGCAGTCACTTTGTTCTTGGCAAGCATCAGTGATCCCCAAAAGAGAACCAAGACCAGAGGGATGATAAAGGAAACTGCGAATGCGATTAACAAGTACTGCCACCACTGCCAACACTCGATGTTCCCATCTAAAAAAAGACGCCAATCCTTTTCAATAGGAACACAGTGCATCAACTTAAGGGTTGTATCTGCCAGTCCTTCGTAACCAAGCAAAAGTGTTTCTAACACAACGCCGAGATATAGTGTTAGTGATGGTGAGGAAATGAACCTGAGCTTACTTGCGGATCGATGGAGGGCATAAATAAAACCAATAGACAGCAATGTTCCCAGGAATTTTGAACACATAAATAGTTCCTTGGTGACGACAGTGAGACCAGGAAATGGGCAACCAATGCCACCATTCAATGTCTTAACCTGGAAATTAAAGATAGCCATAATTGGGGGAATAATTGGTACCATATGCAGAGTTTTCTCAGGAGATCTTATCATCATCAGCTCGGCTACTTGGTAGAAATAAAAGACAATCTTTAGATAACCAGAGTCGTGGCTTTTGTTATCTTCTTCTTCTGGTGTTGACTGTACGTTAACACTTTTGGGCTTCTTCTTAAACCAAAGAGTCTGCTTATACAACTCCGAATAAACGGGAGGCTTAAAGATGAAGTACACTGAGAATACAATCACATAGATGGCGGTTGCCACCCAAAACCAGTGATCGCTACAATTATCTTTCTTTCTGCATGAAGTCGAATAGAGTTCTTCGCTATACCCATCAGAACATCTGCCACATAGGACGCCGGTCCTGTTGCCATGACAGGCATTGTAACCCCGATAACTGGAATGCCTTGAACTGCTACAGTATTCCAGGGGACAGGGAAAGAATTGCATTGTTGGAGGTCTTCTTCCCACTTTTAAGCCCCAGAAATTCTCTTTAGCTCGGACATTTCCATCTTCACAGGATGCTCCGTAAGGACAATTGAGGCATTTAAGTCCTTTGCTAAATTTCAAACGTTTTGGCAAACCCGTCTCCAGACAGTAAAACTTATCATTACACTCTTGACAAAATAGTTTGACATAATTGACCTTCATCCAGCACGTCCTGCTTCCCTCGGTAAACTCAAAACCTTCAGTTGCCTTTATACTTTCCAGTTTCACTCGTCGTTTAGACGGGCATTGTAAAGTAGAGGTGTCATCAGTCTTTATTGAAGTACTTTTAGTAGCAGCCAAAACAGGGTATAGCTTTCGGTTGGCCTTTGCTATAAAAGACGAGTTTCTTATGATGATAGGGCCAGTGCTATCCGAATAGAGGAAACATCCATAACGCAGGACTTTGCCGGGCTGGCCAGTTTTAGATATATGGTTTAAACGTGTTTGAAGGAAGGCGCTTTTTACAACGCTAAGGCTACCGTAACCCGTTTTCAGATAGACATGCCCTCCTAAAGTCAAGCCTTCATTGTTCCTGAACGTGCAGTTTCTCAAAGTGACGTTTCCATTAAGAAAATTCAGTGCTCCTGAGATACCGACGTTATTCTCGAATATGCTGTTTTCAAT